ACAGGAGCCCGGGAGCGGTGCGGGACAGGAGCGGTGCGGATTTGAGCTCGGGAGCGGTGCGGGACGGGAGCGGTGCGGGTTGGAGCCCGGGAGCGGTGCGGGTTGGAGCCCGGGAGCGGTGCGGGTTGGAGCCCGGGAGCGGTGCGGGACGGGAGCGGTGGGGTTGGAGCCCGGGAGCGGTGCGGGACAGGAGCGGTGCGGGACAGGAGCGATGGCAGTTTTTGCCCGGGAGCGATGCGGATCGGAGCCCGGGAACAGAGAAAGAGGTCGAACCCACTGGTCTCGCATCTCTCGCTTTGCCCCGCTGGGGCTGTAATTTAACAAATCTGCCTGTTCTTTCCTTGCATCGTATTATGGGTTTAATTTTTTTTAAATGTCCACTGCAAAACCTTTATATGTAAAGGGAGTTTCCTCTATACGTGTATTCCGTAATTATGCCCATTTCAAAAGCTTGCAATACTAGTTATTTAAATGCAAGGGGTTTTTTTTGACATTCTTTGTTTCAGACCCATGGAAAGGGCTTGCTCTCTAGCTTAATTACATATTTTTCTTGCTTTTCTAAACTTTTTACTGCTGTGGATTTTATAAAGCATGTTCTTACTTGTATTTATCAAGGGCACCCCTTACCTGTTTACAGCTTTAAGATGATCTCTTGTTTATATTTACATCAGTGAATTTACCACTGTTTGAGATGGTATCAATAAATTGCATAACTTTTCCCCTTCCAAAATGTATTCAGACTTTATTAATGGAGGAGAATACGGGTCTCCTGTCAAATAATTTCTGTGCAGACTTTCATACATTTGGAGTTAAATTTAATCAAGCAAGCCCTTTCCCTTTTTAAATCTCTGCTGTTGTATTTCCCCCTGAAGAAAAAAGACTGGAACTTACTGCTGGGGAGCTTTGAGATCTTCTGTGTTGGAAGAAGTCCAGTAATGCAGTCCTTGCTGACTCCAACTTGTTGAGTTCTGCGTGACAGAACTCTTTTTGTCTTATTGGCTTTATGTATTGAATATGCCTAACCACCTTTTAAACCTATTTTACCAGCTGAATCAAACTGATTCATGTGTGAATATATTTATGACTCTGATGCACAGTTAAACCAGCAGATTACCTTAAACTCTTTAGCATTTGCTATACTGTTTGTCTTCCTTCTTTAAAGTCTGGGTTTTGTGCCTCTTGTTCTCAGGGCTGCAGTTTGTGAGGCTGTAGAGCAGTGCGGGCAGACTGCGGGGCCAAGGAGCTGCGGGACAGCCACCGGGCTTGCGGTCGGCGTCACCGGCCGGTGGCCACTGGGGGAGCAGCCCCTGGCCAGGCACCATGAACTCCGGCACCACCGCCCCGCAGAAGGTCACCAGCAACCCCACCAACACTGATGTCAACTATGTCATCAAAGAGCATTATAATTACACAGGAAAGCTAAATGAGAGTGTGGACACTGGAATTAAAGTGACGTCGGTGGTTTTTATCATCATTTGCTGCTTTATAATCTTAGAGAACATTTTTGTCTTGCTTACCATCTGGAAAACCAAGAAGTTTCACAGACCCATGTACTATTTCATTGGGAACTTGGCTCTTTCAGACTTGCTGGCTGGTGTGGCTTACACTGCCAACCTCCTGCTATCTGGACACAAAACCTACAGCCTGACCCCTAACCAGTGGTTTGTAAGAGAAGGCAGCATGTTTGTTGCCTTGTCAGCTTCTGTGTTTAGCTTGTTGGCCATTGCCATTGAGAGATACATCACCATGCTGAAGATGAAACTCCACAATGGCAGCAACAGCTTCCGCTCCTTCTTGCTGATCAGTGCCTGCTGGGTCATCTCCGCAATCCTTGGGGGGCTCCCGATCATGGGCTGGAACTGCAAGAACCTCTTGTCCAACTGCTCCACCGTGCTGCCTCTCTACCACAAGCACTATATTCTCTTTTGCACAACTGTTTTCACTGGCCTTTTGTTATCTATTGTGGTCCTCTACTGCAGGATCTACTCCATGGTGAGGACTAGGAGCCGCAGGCTGACATTTCGGAAAAACATCACCAAAGCTACTAGGAGCTCAGAAAAGTCACTGGCCTTACTCAAGACAGTGATCATAGTCCTGAGTGTCTTCATTGCCTGCTGGGCTCCCCTGTTCATCCTGCTTTTACTGGATGTGGGGTGCAAAGTGAAGGCCTGCCCAATCCTCTATAAAGCAGAGTATTTCTTAGTACTGGCTGTGCTCAATTCAGCCACGAACCCTATCATCTACACCCTGACAAACAAAGAGATGCGGAGGGCTTTCATCAAGATTTTGTGCTGCTGCAAATGTCCCCCAGCAGATTCTGGGACCAAATTCAAACGGCCAATCATTGGGGGGATGGAGTTCAGCCGGAGTAAGTCTGACAACTCCTCACACCCACAGAAGGAGGATGGTGACCATCCTGAAACCATCATGTCTTCGGGCAATGTTACCTCATCTTCTTAGGAGTAACTATGGGGTTGTATTTCAGAGTCTTCCTCTGAAATCAGGGAGCTGGGACGCCTCCTGCTCACAGCAGCAGCATTGGGCTGAGTGAGCAAGTAGCATTAGTTCTAATGAGGCAAACGGTGCACTTGCGAGGCTGGAGTTCAAGAAATGGGACAGACTGTTCTGGCTTGAAAATCTTTTTCCCTGGAGCATGTTTTGTCTTTGCGCTGAAGCAGCTCAGGATTGTCAGGCGCATTCATATCCTGAAATCTCCTTAGTAACTCTGAAAGACTGATGCCTTGGTGAAATGATGCCTGGTGTGTGTGAGAGAAAGAGAGAGGGGGAGGAGGGAAAGGGAGAATGAATCTTTTTTTCTTTTTTCCCCTGTGAGAAGAATGTGAAGTTTTTTCTCTTCACAGCAAACCACTGACACAAAGATCTTTCTGTACTGAATTTAGTGGTGGCTCTGGTATCGTTGGTAATAAGTGTGTTTGTTTAGCACATAACATGGAAAGAGATCACACAAGTACAACTTAGACCACATACAACCATAATTGGCATAATTTTGCAGAGCTTTTAGTTAAGTCATAAGGTTTTATTTGCAGAGTCCAAAACTCTTGGGGTTTTACTTAGTAAGATCATAGCTGTGAATTTTTGCTGTCAGTCTGTATTATATTGAAGACCATGAGCTAGATTCTGCAGTTACTTTCGCCTGTACAATTCCATTGGCTGGATTTAATGAAATAGCTCAGAACGGCATTTGGCCCCATATTTTGATTGCCTTTTTATTCTATAGTATTAAATAAACTGCATTATCATGAAAAATGCAAGGAAGAACTAAACATCATTTCTCTTCAAGATGACTTGAAAGTCTACAAAATAGTAAAAAATACTATTGACAACAGTGGGATTTTTGCCTAAGTAAGAAGAGCTAAAAACTGAAGGTGTATTTCAATGTCAGGTTCACAGTCTTTCCAAAAGTAAGGATCAGCTGGAAAATCAGAAAAGAGTACGTTGGTTTCAGAAAAAAACAGAAAGTTGAAGTGAAATGACTATCGATAAATGCACTTCCATAACAAAATGTAATACATTTTGGCACATTTTATTAATGTTTATAATTTCAGCAAAGATGTCTGTATTTAATCGTGGAAGAAGTATCTGTTGTTAAATTGAATGTATTTGTTTTACAGCATCATTTTTACTTCTTTATTTTTCTAACCTGTGCTAATGGGGTTGAATGTGTACAATGTAAATAAGATACAGGAGTCTTCATGTGCCTAGAGTATTGCTATAACAAACGTGGTATATCTGGGATAGCTGAGAGCAATTGACTTATCTACAGTCATCAGCAACTCCTAGGACTGGTATTTTGTAAAGAAAATGTATTGCCTTTGTAGTAAAATTTTCAGTGCAATTAAACTGTTGGGGTTTTTTTTTCTGGTTTAAAAAATAGTATTTAAAATGTTTCTGACTTTTATTGTTCAATTTGCACATACCTTTATTGACTTCTAAACATTAATAAACTGATTTTTTTAAATGATTCTATTATCAGATTACTAGAAGTTTTTTTCTGTTGTGGTGGTTTCATGCCAGGTGTGGTTTCCACTGAAGTCAATGAAAGAATTCCTTGATTTTAGGGCATGCTGAGATTAAGTCCATTCTGTGGGGACATAATGTGTAATGTCACAAGATCGTGTAAAACATAAACTGAATTTTAAACTATAACTTTCTTGTCAGCATGTTCTGTATGGCTGAAATGCCACTAGAAGAATCTCTGCAATAGCAATCCTTCCCCAACAGCCAATGAAGTACAAACAGAAGGAAAACCAGATGGCTGCCAGTTTTACTATGACTGCCTAGAGTAGAAACGTGAAGTAATTCGCTTGTATCACCAATATAATTTGTAAGTTCAATTCTTAGCTTATTGCAAACGTCAAGGAAGTTTATGAAACACAGAATGATGGCCTCAACTGTGTGAGTGCTGCAGCTGCATTGGGTCTGCCAGCGAGGACCGTAGCAGTGTAGTTGAACGGATACTGCATTACTTCTTCCAAAGGTTTGACTTCCATTTCCTTTCTTGTGGCTGTTCCCTCTCAGAATTACTTTTAAGTTCCATGGACCTCATACAGGATGCAGTTGGAGAGTGAAGATAAACCTCACCTTCTCATACTGTATGTCATCACTGTGCAGGGTTTACTGTGGGAAATGAGAGCCTACTCACCGAGGAAGGTTCTGGGTCATAACCTCACTTCCTGAAGGAAATTCCAAAAATGCCCTGAAGACAAAGGAGTGGAAACAGGCTGGAATTTCTCTCCATCTGTCTGCCTGTATGGAAGGAATGATTTCATGTGTGCTCACTTCCTAGCCTTTTAATTAGTGACCTGAGCAGGGCTGGAAAAAGAGTCAAATCTGTATTTGTGCACAAGATAAAGTGTCTCTCGGCTCAGACCTTCATTTAGGCAGGGATGATTTACCTTGGGTGCTGACAGTCATGAGGGAAAGCACTGGTTTGTCCCACGGATAAAGTCACTTCTGTGCAGAGTACCAAAAATGCATAGACCATGGAACTTAAACCCCTATGCTACCTGTGAGTAAATAAAGACAATGTACCCCATACACTGGGGATGTATGAGGCATACATGAGGCAATGCATAGGGACATCTGAGTTTGTAGGGGTGTTTTTATCAGAGGGGCTGGGGCCTTTCTGCTCCTGAAGCCTTACAAGCATTAAGGTTATTTGTCTCACACATCTGAGATCCTATGACAAGGGCTGAGCTGTGTTATCACAGCACGGTGCCACTGACCCCTTGTGACTACCACCCCATTTCTGTACTGGGAGCTGGATAGCCCACAGGTGAGTCATTTCCCTTCCCTTTGCTGGTATTTCTGTATCCCTTGCTTACCTCATCTATGCACTCTGGGCCTTTGTGGAAAGTGACAATTTCCCTTATGGAGATGACTGTGTGATGGGAGCCCAGTTCTGGGAGGGAACTCAAAGCCCTACGAAATTCATGTGATGAAAGATGTGTACACCCCAGAGAGTGGCACTGGGCCATGGGAAGCATTTCCTACACTCCTAGTCATGGTGACTGAAATCTACTTCCTCCATAGACACTCCACATGCAAGTAGACAAGATTCAGACAAGCAAAAATAACTAATAAAATAGTAACATTAGTAACAGTAAGAGTTCCTGCTGTGAAAAAAATGTAAAGGCCATTTAGTCCTGCTCCGGTGGGGGGGAACCCTGCAGCTCCTCAGCCATGGCCATACATTCCCATACCCAGGTTAGGCCAGAGGTACCGCACAAGTTTTGAGGCTGCAGTGTAGAAAGCACCCTTCCAAGCCCTGGCCTGCCTTCTGTGTGCATGGAAAGGGCATGCAGCTTCGTCCTGGTGATGGCCATGTGCCAAACAGGCAGAGAAAATGAACTGAGAACTGAAAAGGTGCATTATACTGAACGTCTACCTGAAATAGAATAGCCTGAATTATTCAGAGCAACCTGGTCCTTTGATGTTTATTCTTTTTCCTAGCTGTTCTTCCTATGCAAGGAATAGAACAGGGATAGAAAATGATCATAAAATCTGTCTGTTACTTCCCTGGAAACTCCCTGCCCAGGTATTCTTGTGTGAGAGGCAGGTATAGCAGGGTGCATATTGAGCAAGAGAGAAGCTGCAGCTGGAATGCCCCATGGATCACTCAGCGGGAACTAACCTTGGGCTTGTATGCCACAGGCTGCCAGGACTAAAACTAGGGAACAGAAATGTGTAAAAATACTGTTATCCATCCTTATCTTACCTGTCACCTAAGAAATAGAGGGACTGCCCAAATGTAACATTTCTTAATTCCTAACTTGGCCTGGAAGACCTCAATACTGATTGCATTTTGTATGGGCTGAGGCGTTATCAGATGTTGTAAAAAGGGTCAAACTGACAAGGCATTGAAAAACATGGATACTCGAACTAGAGCTATATAACCTGCTCAGCTCTGAAATGCTGGAAATTCCCCAAGGTTGTCAAGTTTGCTAGGAAAACATCTATTGTATTTCAATAATTCCTCATAGGTTTAGTTTTTTGGGTTTTTTTCCCTTTTGAAAATTAGATTAATTCAATAGAACTAAAGTGTCAAGATTTAAGAAACAAACAAAAAAAACCCAAACAAAATCCACCTTAATTAAGTTCCTCTAATTTGCTTTCACAAACTTTTCTAATCCAGTCTTTCTATTTACAGATGGAAGGAGTTTGCTTATTAGCTATCATCTGATTTATTCAGATAGAACCTTATTTCATTTTACACAGTTGGCAAGAATTGCATAGGGTCACAAAATCTCCCTCCAACTATTACTCTATGCAAAGGATTTCCCATGGTAATTAACAGTAATTAAATCCACTCTGGACACAGGAGCTATAAGAGCATGTGGTGCAGTAACTCGTACAAGTTTTCTGATTAAATAAGAAGTACCTAGAGAAATCTCAAAGCCAAGCAGCCAATATAAATTATGATATTATCCAAAAGGTTGTTTGGGTGTGTCTGGGGGGTTTTATTTGTTTGTTTGTTGGTTTGAATTTTTTTGGTAAATTTGGAACATAATTAGTGTAGACTTACGTGATCCTCTTAGAAGGATGACAATGTTAAGGACTATCTCCCCTGCAGCAGCAGGATGACACAAACCTTGTGTGTCACAGGTTTGAAATGTATCAAAGCAGCAGCAGCAGCAGATACTTGTGCATATACAATGCAACATTGGGAGCTCCCCAAGCCCTCTCGGTACTGCCAGATCCCTAACTCTGCTGAAAAACCCTAAACGGCAGCAAAGCGGGAAGTGTTTCCTTGCACTTGGAGTTTCCGTGCTACCTTCACGAGACAAAAAGGCAGGAAATCCCATCAGCCACACCCAGGAATGATCCGGCTCGGAAAAGTCCTAATAAAGCAGGGCTCACAAAGCTCTGTCAACCTCTGTGAACCTTCCACTGAGCCTGGGGTAGCAGCCACATAATGGAAACCCGATACAAAGGCCAATATTTATTTTGAGCTTTTGTGAATGATTCCTTGGAGAAGACCCATTTTTAGGTGCACGGTACAATGACAGTACATAAAAACAGCTCGTCAGAACGTGTGTGACCCAAACCCCATTAAATATTGATATGTCTGTAGCAATTGCAGTGTTTATTCAGAATCACTCTACTCATCTAAAAGTTGGATTAAAATACCAAATGCATGGCTTTGAAAACAAATAGACATTTGGAAAACGGAGGCTAGAGGGAAATCACCAAATAAATACTGGTTCAAATTATCTGCTAGGCTTTGTGAAATCATGGATGAAAACTGTTTCACTACCTGGGAAAAATCTGGTGTGAACCACAGCTGACAGCTGACACAGGTTTTGACCTGAGCTGTCTGCTCAAGGTAGACTTGCTCTCTTAAACACAGAAACTCTTGGCATAAGCCTATTGCTGCTGGAGACAAATAGATCACACAAACCCAGCTCAAGGTGTGGTGAAAGGAAGAGAGAACTTTATTTCTTCTCTCACAATTTATAGGTTTCTGACCACGGTCAGGGATTGGATGGTCAGGATAACACCTTTCCAACTGCACTGGCCGTGAGAGATGTCCACCACAAGACGTGTATCAGAAGGAATGTACACATATCTATGTTTACAGTTACTGTCCTGGGAAAGTCTTTAGAAAACTATGTCAGCAAGCTCAAAAAGCTGAGTTTTCAGGGTGACATAAGCCAAGACTTCTTGAATTAGCAGGGTAGTGGTGTAAATTGCTGGAATGCTCTCAGACAGATTTTTGCCCATACTGAGCAGGCAGAGCTGAACAATGTGAAGGTGAGGGTGTGAATTACTTTAAGCAATAGAAATAGAATTTATATGGTTACACATAATGTGCAATAACAATTTTCATGATGTAAAAATTGTATTTGGCTCAAGACTGTGATTGAGAGTGTATGGGAGAACAGGCTTCAGGGATAATTTGGGATTGCTGAGGGAGGGAGCTGAGTGTGATATTTTCCACTTGAAATGAAGGAATCCTCTGTGATAATGCAGACACAAAGCTGAGGATTTTGAGAATTTTCTCTTGTGAACTCTATCCTTAGATCTGTAATTCTTTCCTGAGCAACTCTGGGCAAGGTCTGATGAACACTCCCACACAGAAATACGTATAATAGACACACGGGGATGTTTACAAGTGAATACTTTGAATTTTGTGGTACTATTCAAAGAGCTGGTATCTGTGTCATTTTGAATAAGGGTGAGAGTCTGCCAGGTCAATTATTACCCAGCTACTTGCAGTGTTTCCTTGTGCTTTGATGAACTGGATGCTGTATCAAGTTACTCTAAAGTGGAAGAAAAAAAAATTCTACCAACATGTGCAACCCTGTCATGTTTGGAAGAAGGATCAAGATGTTAGCTGGAAAACATGTTCTGATGAAGTGCTGAAAAACAACTCATCACAGCCTGCATTGTTATCTTTCTTGCTTTCAGGCAAGACACAACTATGGTCTAACGATTTCTGCTAATCTGTTCGATGCCTGT